CTGTTGCTGTCAACTCTCAAGATGAGATCCAAAGAGCTGTCACTATCGGTGAAGCCATCATTAGGCTGAAAAAACAAAACAAACCCATCAGAGAGATAGCAAAAACATTAGGCGTGGCCAAAACAACTGTTTGGAACATTCTTAAAAAGAAGGAACGCACCGGTGAGCTCAGCAACACCAAAAGACCCGGAAGACCACGGAAAACAACTGTGGTGGATGACCGAAGAATTCTTTCCCTGGTGAAGAAAACTCCCTTCACAACAGTTGGCCAGATCAAGAACACTCTCCAGGAGGTAGGTGTATGTGTGTCAAAGTCACCAATCAAGAGAAGACTTCACCAGAGTGAATACAGAGGATTCACCACAAGATGGAAACCATTGGTGAGCCTCAAAAACAGGAAGGCCAGATTAGAGTTTGCCAAACGACATGTAAAAAAGCCTTCACAGTTCTGGAACAACATCCTATGGACAGATGAGACCGACATCAACTTGTACCAGAGTGATGGGAAGAGAAGAGTATGGAGAAGGAACTGCTCATGATCCTAAGCATACCACCTCATCAGTGATCATGGTGGTGGTAGTGTCATGGCGTGGGCATGTATGGCTGCCAATGGAACTGCTTCTCTTGTATTTATTGATGATGTGACTGCTGACAGAAGCAGCCAGATGAATTCTGAAGTGTTTCGGGAATATTATCGGCTCATATTCAGCCAAATGCTTCACAACTCATTGGACGCTTCACAGTGCAGATGGACAATGACCCAAAGCAGACTGCAAAAGCAACCAAAGAGTTTTTTAAGGGAAAGAAGTGGAATGTTCTGCAATGGCCAAGTCAATCACCTGACCTGAATCCGATTGAGCATTTCACTTGCTGAAGACAAAACTGAAGGCAAATGCCCCAAGAACAAGCAGGAACTGAAGACAGTTGCAGTAGAGGCCTGGCAGAGCATCACCAGGGATGAAACCCAGCGTCTGGGGATGTCTATGCGTTCCACACTTCAGGCTGTAATTGACTGCAAAGGATTTGCAACCAAGTATTAAAAAATGAAAGTTTGATTTATGATTATTATTCTGTCCCATTACTTTTGGTCCCTTAACAAGTGGGAGGAACATATGCAAACTGTTGTAATTCCTACACCGTTCACTTGATATGGATGTAAATACCCTCAAATTAAAACTGACAGTCTGCAGTTAAAGCACATCTTGTTCGTTTCATTTCAAATCCATTGTGGTGGTGTATAGAGCCAAAAATGTTAGAATTGTGTCCATGTCCCAATATTTATGGACCTGACTGTAAAATATATATAAAGTGTTGCCTACAATTGTTGGCGCTAAATAAATGTCTGTAATAATAGTTCAGAATGAATGAAAGCGCTCTCGACTGGATGGTGCATGCCGAGCCTACAGCAATGTACGGTGATAATTCTGTATAGGTCCAGCAGGGGGCAGTGGAACAACAGCCAAAATGCACATTAAAAAAAAAAAAACAAAAAAACATTTCTGGGAATTTGCGTTTATTACAGGAATAGAAAATAATTTCTCCATCGTAGATTGTATGAGCGTGCGTGTGCACACATTTACAATGGAACCAAAGAGTCATAACCTTCCAGTTTAAATGTCCTGCCATGATAGACAGGGATGGTTTTTCCATTTTTCTGAAAAATACTAGTTGCCTGACTGTTTGGCTGACCCAACCTTCAAGATGTCTGCAGAACAGCAAAAGTACCTACCGTATCTGCCGGCGTATTCCAGGATAGCGACTCTGAGTTGGAGGCCAGTATGACAGTCAAGCGTCTGCCGGGCTTTTCCAGAAGGAGTGTTCAGCAATGGCAGCCTTATGATGTGACCCTTACCCACATAGAAGAAAAAATATATTTTTAAAAATGTTCTTCCCAAATATATTGACATATATTTGAAATACTACAATTTTGTCCTTATTCAATATATTTATATACATATATTATACACTGTATGTTGAAATGCGTTTTTTATATATTGCAAAATATATGAAAAAAGTTTTTTAAAAATACATGTAATCTACATTTTTGGAATATATGTAAAAATGAATGTTAAAATGACTGAGTGTTTAGCAATGGCAGCCTTTTCCTTTGATGTTACCCTTACCTACATTGAAGAAAAATATATTTTAAATATATTTTAAAATTATTCTTCCCCAAATATATTGACATATGTTTGAAATATTACAATTTTGAGAGTATTATATACAGGTGAAATTCGAAAAATTAGAATATGGTGCAAAAGTTCATTTATTTCAGTGCAGCAACTTAAAAGGTGAAACTAATATATGAGACTCATTACATGCAAAGCAAGATAGTTCAAGCCGTGATTTGTCATCATTGTGATGATTATGGCTTACAGCTCATGAAAACCCCAAATCCACAATCTCAGAAAATGAGAATATTCCATGCAATCAATAAAACACGGATTGTACATAGAACAATATCGTACCTCTGAAAAGTAGAAGCTGCATATGTACTCAGTACTTGGTTTGGGCCCCTTTTGCAGCAATTACTGCCTCAATGCGGCGTGGCATGGAAGCTATCAGCCTGTGGCACTGCTGAGGTGTTATGGAAGACCAGGATGCTTCAATAGCGGCCTTCAGCTCTTCTGCATTGTTCGGTCTCATGTCTCTCATCTTTCTCTTGGCAATGCCCCATAGATTCTCTATGGGGTTCAGGTCAGGTGAGTTTGCTGGCCAATCAAGCACAGTAATCCCACGGTCATTGAACCAGGTTTTGGTGCTTTTGGCAGTGTGGGCGGTGCCAAGTCCTGCTGGAAAATGAAGTCAGCATCCCCATAAAGCTGGTCTGCGGAAGGAAGCATGAAGTGCTCCAAAATCTCCTGGTAGACGGCTGCGTTGACCCTGGACTTAATGAAGCACAGTGGACCAAAACCAGCAGATGACATGGCTCCCCAAATCAACACCGACTGTGGAAACTTCACACTGGACTTCAAGCATCTTGCAGTGTGTGCCTCTCCATTCTTCCTTCAAAATCGGGGTCCTTGTGCCTCTCCATTCTTCCTCCATACTCGGGGTCCTTGGGCCTCTCCATTCTTCCTCCATGCTCTGGGTCCATGTGCCTCTCCATTCTTCCTCCATGCTCTGGGTCCATGTGCCTCTCCATTCTTCCTCCATACTCGGGGTCCTTGTGCCTCTCCATTCTTCCTCCATACTCGGGGTCCTTGGGCCTCTCCATTCTTCCTCCATACTCGGGATCCTTGGGCCTCTCCATTCTTCCTCCATACTCGGGGTCCTTGTGCCTCTCCATTCTTCCTCCATACTCTGGGTCCTTGGGCCTCTCCATTCTTCCTCCATGCTCGGGGTCCTTGGGCATCTCCATTCTTCCTCCATACTCGGGGTCCTTGGTTTCCAAATGAGATGCAAAAGTTTCTCTCATCAGAAAAGAGGACTTTGGACCACTGAGCAACAGACCAGAGGAATACAACATTTGAAGCCCATGTCCAGGATCCGTCTGTGTGTGGTGGCTCTTGATGCACTGACTCCAGCCTCAGTCCACTCCTTGTGAAAGTCCCCAACACTTTTGAATGGCCTTTTCCTGACAATCCTCTCCAGGCTGCGGTCATCCCTGCTGCTTGTGCACCTTTTTTTCTTCCACACTTTTCCCTTCCACATAACTTTCTATTAATGTGCTTTGATACAGCACTTTGGGAACATCCAACTTCTTTTGCAATTACCTTTTGAGGCTTTCCCTCCTTATGGAGGGTGTCAATGATGGTGTCAGGTCAGCAGTCTTTCCCATGATTGTGATTCCTACTGAACCAGACTGAGAGACCATTTAAAGGCTCAGAAACCCTTTGCAGGTGTTATGGCTTAATTATCTGATTAGAGTGGGACACTTTGAGCCGAGAATATTCCACCTTTTCACAATATTCTCATTTTCTGAGATTGTGGATTTGGGGTTTTCATGAGCTGTGCTCCATAATCATCACAATGATGACAAATCACGGCTTGAACTATCTTGCTTTGCATGTAATGAGTCTTTCTCATATATTAGTTTCACCTTTTAAGTTGCATTACAGAAATAAATAAACTTTTGCACAATATTCTAATTTTTTGAGTTTCACCTGTATATATATTTATATTTATTTTATGTAAAGGGATTTTGAGTCTCTCGTTTTGTTAAAAAAAATAAAAGCTTGTATCTTTAATTGTAAAACCACGTCTTGCTGTTCCTGAGGTTGACTATTCCAGCACCTTGAAAGTCTCATACTTTTTTGATTCATATTTTATTTATTTTTTTTATACTTGCTGTATAAAATAATGAGGCTAATGAGGGGCTGGTTTTTTTTTTTGGCACAAGAACAGGTCCAGGATAGTTGTACGGAGCCCCTGTATCCATTAGGAGCTGCTTCTTCACGTTCTTCCCATACCAGAGCTGGCTCTCTTTCCTATTCCTTACGCAGTTTATCTTGGATTGAATCCTGTGCAGTAAATGAGAGGGATAAGTACATGGTGACAGCTGGCAGATAGGAGAGGACAAAACACTTCCTAATATACAGTGCAGCCTGCATATAGAACGCATTGATTAGTACGATGGACGTGGTGGTGTGCAGGTGCAACAGAATTTGCTGAATTACTATGAAGGCCCATTCAGATCTTCTCATTCTGGTATCACAGAGCAAAATACGTTTTATGCTGGACAATACCACCACACGTGGCAACATGCAGCCGCAGAGAAGATTGTTGCAAAGCCACTCATTTTGCGTACGCCCCTTCTTAACCACTTCCAGTCCGGACACTTTCACCCCCTTCCAGTCCGGACACTTTCCCCCCCTTCCAGTCCGGACACTTTCCTTCCCCCCTTCCAGTCCGGACACTTTCACCCCCTTCCAGTCCGGACACTTTTACCCCCTTCCGGTTCCGGACACTTTCACCCCCTTCCAGTCTGGACACTTTTACCCCCTTCCGGTCCGGACACTTTCACCCCCTTCCAGTCCGGACACTTTTAGCCCCTTCCGGTCCGGACACTTTCACCCCCTTCCAGTCCGGACACTTTCACCCACTTCCTGTCCGGACACTTTCACCCCCTTCCAGTCCGGACACTTTCACCCCCCTTCCAGTCCGGACACTTTCCCCCCTTCCAGTCCGGACACTTTCCCTCTCTTCCAGTCCGGACACTTTCACCCCCTTCCAGTCCGGACACTTTCCCCCCTTCCAGTCCGGACACTTTCACCCCCTTCCAGTCCGGACACTTTCACCCCCCTTCCAGTCCGGACACTTTCCCCCCTTCCAGTCCGGACACTTTCACCGCCTTCCAGTCCGGACACTTTCCCCCTTTCCAGTCCGGACACTTTCACCCCCTTCCAGTCCGGACACTTTCACCCCCTTCCAGTCCGGACACTTTCACCCCCTTCCTGTCCGGGACACTTTCCCCCCTTCCTGTCAGTCCGGACACTTTCACCTCCTTCCAGTCCAGTCCGGACACTTTTCGAAGTGACATCTTGCTTACTACTATTCATGTGATCACTGATTGGCCAATCAGTGATCACATGAATCGGGACCTCACACAGAGGTCCTGTACAGCAATCTCCGGACACAGCGGGCAACGGATTGCAGTGCCGTGCACTCCCAGGGAGCGTGCACAGGCTGTAAATGCAGGGGACGCTTATGAACGGCAAACCCACCCCTGCACTGCTCCCGTCCGGCCGTTTATGTTCATGGGCCGGATGGGAAGTGGTTAACAATGTGTCCAAAGAACATTAGCAGCCAGCTGTTGGAGGGTACCCCCTGGGAAAATCACTGGATCTCCAAAATGTTGTCAAAATGGCGACCTCTGAGCTGGATCATCATTTTTGGGAAGAAGGCATTTATGGGGGTTGAGCTCATTGTAGGTCCTCCTAATCTCTCGTTGCCTTCCAGTGATGTTCTTCTGCTCCTGAAGCGTGCGTGCCTCTCACAAATCTTGAACGGCTGATTGCAGCATCACCATAAACTTGCCGAATCATGTCAGAGGTCTCTGTGGTCTCTATTACCTTGTAGAGGTGCGATGGGTCAGATGTCCACAACTGCTTAGCCATATATTGTATCATAGGAAATGCCACTTCAAAGAACCCAAGACCTGATCTCTCGTCGTCTTCCAGTGATGTTCTTTCACTCCTGAAGCGCGCATGCCTCTCAAAACATCTTGAATGGCTGATTGCAGCATCACCATAAACTTGCCGAATTGTGTCAGAGGTCTCTGTGGTCTCTATTACCTTGTAGAGGTGCGATGGGTCAGATGTCCACAACTGCTTAGCCATATATTGTATCATAGGAAATGCCACTTCAAAGAACCCAAGACCTGATCTCTCGTCGTCTTCCAGTGATGTTCTTTCACTCCTGAAGCGCGCATGCCTCTCAAAACATCTTGAATGGCTGATTGCAGCATCACCATAAACTTGCCGAATTGTGTCAGAGGTCTCTGTGGGCTCTATCGCCTTGTAGAGGTGCGATGGGTCAGATGTCCACAACTGCTTAGCCATATATTGTATCATAGGAAATGCCACTTCAAAGAACCCAAGATCTGAGATCAATGTAGCCCATCTGGTGGCCTTTTAAAGGCCGGCAGTCTCACGGCCTGGTTATCGCTGGTCACACCCCAGCCTGTTTCTGGTAAAGCTTCAGGGAGAAGGGGGCCTGGATTTGGTTGCTTCAGCAGCCGGATTGGGAGCCCACCCACTGGACCGTCGTGCTCAATCTGGTGGAAGTGGTGAGAGACTATGCTGGGCAAACACAGCACGGGAAGCCATGTGGAGGTTAGCACTGGATACAAGGATACCGAAAAATACAGCATGCATTGTTCTGCACCACAAGACTCCGATCCCGAGGGGCACATAGAAAACAAATATTTTCCTTGAGCCCTCACCGAAGCCTTTGTCCTTCCAATGCTGTTATCACATCTCAATGCATGAAATGATGAATTTGCGCACCACAACGCACAGAGCACCGATATCTGTTGGGTTTTTTTTTTTTTTTTTACTGCGGGCTCACCCCAACAAATTCCTCACATCGAACCGCTCTCCATACAATGTAGAGCAGAATTAAAACAGAAGAGACTTCATAGTGCAACCCGATAAAACTCAAAAAATATATTCCATAAAATATTGCACTTACATAGATAAGGTGCATAAAAGCAGTGTAGAAATTCAAAATTCCCGATCTCCAATCGGCGGTTTTGGAGAAACGCGTCGGGCGGAGTCTTCTGTGACGTCATGACGTTACGGGCATCGGAATGACACTTGAACTTTGACTTTTAGCACTTTAGATGCATTATTTTGCACATTTTGTATATGCACATATTTATTTATGGTCTATCTTTGGTATATTGTGTTTAGTTATTGTGTCAGATTGGTTTAGTGTACAGTGCACTCAATTATTTTTATTTTTTTTTTATTCAGGAAGAGAGTAGTGTCAGTTCACTTTATTCATTCATTTATTTATTCATTGCAAATTATATTTTGCCACTTTTATTATTTGTTGGGTGTAACACGGGTCTTCTCTTTTCACAAAGCAGGGAGAAAAAACAAAGAGATATTCAGTAAAAATCAGCACATAATACACACATTGTTAGGCACCCTTTGTTTACCTGAGGTGTTAACCCCTTCCCAGCCAGTGTCATTAGTACAGTGACAGTGCAGAGTATTATCACTGATCACTGTATTAGTGCCACTGGAGATGCCAGTGTCAGTTAGTCAGTTCCCACCCAGTGTCAGTTAGCGTCAGATTGCCTACCGCACTATCACACTCCCATTATAGGCTGCTGATCACTGCCATTACTAGTATAAAAAAAAATTCTAGTATATACCATAGTTTGCAGACACTGTATCTGACACAAACCAATCAATATACAGTGAGGAACAGAAGTATTTGAACACCCTGCGATTTTGCAAGTTCTCCCACTTAGTGCGAGACAAATAAATTCTTTACAAATCATACAATGTGATTTCCTGAAATTTTTTTTTTAATTCTGTCTCTCAGAGTGGGAATGCACCTACAATGTGAATGTCAGACCCTTCCATGATTTCTAAGTGGGAGAACTTGCAAAATCGCAGGGGGGTTCAAATACTTCTGTTCCTCACTGTACACTTACTGGGATTTTTTTTTAGCAAAGACATGAACATAATCTGTTTTGGCCAAAATGTATGAAGAAATTTAATTTTTAGAAATTTTTTTTATTGGATATGTTTTATAGCAGAAAGTAAAAAAATACTGTTTTTTTTTTTTTTTTTCCAAAATTTTAAGGCTTTTTTGTTTATATAATAAAAAATAAAAAACTCAACGGTGATCAAATATCATCAAAAGAACGCTCTATCTGTGTGAAAAAAAATGATAGGAATTTTGTTTGGGTACAGAGTTGCATGACCGCACCATAACCAGTTAAAGTAGCGCAGTGCTGAAAGCAAAAAAAAAAAATGCTCTGGTCATGAAGGGGGTCAAACCTTCCGGAGCCAAAGCGGATATACAACGTTCTCATGTGCATTGCAATAACAATATTACAATTAAAGTTTTATTGTTCAATGTCAGAATTGCAAAGTTTTGAATCCAGCCTTTGTCCTGGTGACAGTTGTCACTAGGACAGCAAGTAATGGGAAATCCGAAATGTATAACGTGGGTGTAACTTTGCAATTTCCAACCATAAGAAATTTAATAAAAAAAAATGTAAAAAAGTGAAAACAAATTAAATTATATATACACAGTGCCTTGGAAAAAGTGTTCATCCCCCTTGAAATGTCCCCCATGTTGTCATGTGACAACCAGAACCGTCAATGTATTTTATTGGGATTTGATGTGATAGACCGACACAAAGTGGCTCATAATTGTGAAGTGGAAGGAAAATGAGAAATGGTTTTCAATATTTTTTACAAATAAATCTGTGAAAAGTGTGGCGGCATTTGTATTCAGCCCCCCCGGAGTCAATACTTTGTAGGACCCCCCCTTTCTCTGCAATTCCAGCTGCAAGTCTTTTTGGGGACATCTGTACCAGCTTTGCACATCTAGAGAGGGACATTTCTGCTCATTCTTCTTTGCAGAATCCTCAAGCTCTGTCAGATTGGATGGAGAGCGTCTGGGAACAGCAATTTTCAGGTCTGGCCACAGATTCTCCATTGGATTTCAGTCTGGACTGTGAATGGGCCATTCTAACACATGAAGATGCTTTGATCTGAACCATTCCATTGTAGCTCTGGCTGGATATTTCGGGTCGTTGTCCTGCTGAAAGGGGAACTTACGCCCCAGTCTCAAGTCTTTTGCAGACTCTAACAGGTTTTCCTTCTAAGATTGCCCTGTATTTGGCTCCATCCATCTTCCCATCAACTCTGACCAGCTTCCCTGTCCCTGCTGAAGAAAAGCATCCCCACAACATGATGCTGTCACCACCATGTTTCACGGTGGGGATGGTGTGTTCAGGGTGATGTGCAGTGTTAGTTTTTCCCCCACACGTAGTGTTTTGCTTTTAGGCCAAAAGGTTCCATTTTGGTCTCCTCTGACCAGAGCCCCTTCTTCCACATGTTTGCTGTGTCCCCCACATGGCTTCTTACACACTGCAAACAGGAACGTCTTATGGCTTTCTTCCAACAATGGCTTTCTTCTTGTCACTCTTCCATAAAGGTCAGATTTGTGGAGTGCACGACTAATAGTTGTCCTGTGGACAGATTCTCCCTCCTGGGCTGTGGATCTCTGCAGCTCCTCCAGAGTTCCCATGGGCCTCTTGGCTGCTTCTCTGATGAATGCTCTCCTTGCCCGGCCGGTCAGTTTAGGTGGAAGGCCATGTCTTGGTAGGTTTGCAGTTCTGCCATACTCTTCCCATTTTCGGATGATGGATTGAACAGTGCAAAGTGAGACGGTCAAAGCTTGGGAGATTTTTTATAACCTAACCCTGCTTTGAACTTCTCCACAACTTTATCCCCGACCTGTCTGGTGTGTTCCTTGGCCTTCATGATGTTGTTTGTTCACTAATGTTCACTAACAAACCTCCGAAGACTTCAGAGAACAACTGTATTTATACTGAGATCACATGACACACAGGTGGACTCTATTTACTAATTAGATGACTTCTGAAGGCAATTGGTTCCACTAGATTTTAGTTAGGGGTATCGGAGTAAAGGGGGATGAATACAAATGCATGCCAAACTTTTCAGATATTTATTTTTTCAAAATTTATTTTTTTTGAAAACCAGTTATCATTTTCCTTCCACTTCACAATTATGAGCCACTTTGTGTTGGTCTATCACATCGAATCCCAATAAAATACATTGACGTTTTTGGTTGTAACATGACAACATGGGGAACATTTCAAGGATTGTGAATCCTTTTTCAAGGCACGAGATGTGTGTGTGTGTAT